TATATATACGTTATAATAAATTTAAAATGTTATACCCCAAGAAACAATTCTAATCTGCAAGATCTTCTTACAGAAATATTAAAAAATTTCATAAGATTACTTTTGCTTTAAAATTCATTCATATATCTTCAGGATGAGGAACATTTTATTTATTTATTATAAGCATATGTTTTTGTTTTTTTTTGTTGGAAAACAAATCTCCTGCGTTGAAAACTGACAAGAATTGACAATCTAAAACACTGACCGATAATGATTTCCGTTAAGATACAGTTGAGAGTCTCCTTTTAAACACACACAGGTATATACTCACATCATATAGAACAACATTAAAGAAGTTCTTTGCCACCGAAGCTTATTTAAATTGCATAAACTGCGAGGAAATTTTCCAGCACAATGGGGATAGGCGGTTCACGCCCGATGAGAATAATATTCTTGGAAAGTAAGGTCCCTTGCACTCATCTCTAAATGTAGGGAAGGTCAGATAAGTTTGTCAATCCTCAAGTGATTTATGACTGAGGTGAAAATAAGTGAGGATGTTATGTTTTGTTCCTTTTTAATTTAGGAAAGGTAGCAGGTAAAAGGTTAATATTTTTAACGCAGAGAGAAATTATGTAAGCTTTTTGGTTTGTGTTTAATAAATAAAGAATTTTTCGATCTCAAAGAGTCATTTTTCCCCTTAAAATTTTAATTAAGTTTAAGACAATCACAAGCCATTTAAAAAAATTATGTGTTATTGATCTGTCTCATGCAATGCCCAGTTTCTTCAATGACATCTAAATTGAAACTGTTGAAGTATTTCATTAAAGATGGCCCGAGTATTTAGAGGTCAAAATTTTAAAGATTTTCTAAGCTATCAGCGTAGAAGAATGAAACTTTATAAAAAGTAATCGATCTAATAACTTTATTGTGCTTAAATTTAACTACTACTACAAATCTGAGGTTAAAATTAGGGCATGAGCTCCGAATTTTTATATGAAAATCAGTCTAAGCAAGATTATTTATAAAGTTGATTATATTTTAAATGGTTTACTTGACTTACTGGCCTGATTTAAAACAATACATATTAACATTGATTTACTATCGCTATTTGAATTTTTATATATATAAGCAAATAGAAAAATGAATAAACCCTTCTAACGCGTAACTCATATTCCACTTTATAAATATTAAAACCGAGATAGGTTTTAAGTTTCTGATCAATTTTATAATGATATATGTTTTCTATTTAAGAAGAGTTTAAAATCAGGAATAGAATTTGTTAAGGATCAAATTCCATGGATCAATTTAAAATGAATAGGTTACAAATATTTAATGTTTCTTACTATTTCTTGTTAGGTAAGCCTATAAATCATGATTGCATATCTTTGAAGAACTTCTTTCTGACTAATACAAGTTGTGACACAAAAAAACGAGACTAAGCGTGTAGCTTGAAAAAAGAGCGGAGTTAGCAACAACTGGTTTGGTGACGTCATACCACGCTCCTCCTCTATTTATGTGGTCAGTTGCGCATTTCCCGATCACACCAGTTGGGAGTACTTCGTCATTGAGTGAACACGCCAGAAAAATGTCGAATTTGGCTAGAAAAAGAAGGATTAGAAGGGTTTTTAAATTTTGGTTGATTCGACATTTTTCCGGCAGAAATGTCGAATCTACGTCAAGTCTCTTGTGAATCTTAAGAAATCAACCACGAAAAAAGTTTAAACACTAACTGAGGCTTATGAAGATAAACTTTGCCTCGTGCACATGTGTTTGAGTGGTATAAGAGATTTCCAGGGGAAAGGGCTAATGTGGAAGATGATGAACCTGCTGTTCACTCAGGTCAGCGACTTCAGACCAAAACATAACCAAAATTTATGATTTAAGCAGGTTTCCACTCACATCAGTGGTCACACTGTTAATCAACACTACTACATTAAAGTACTAAAAAGACTTCACGAAAAAATTTGGAAAAAAAAAACCAGAATTAAGGAGTGATGGTTGGCTGTTGCACTAAGACAATGCACTCGGTACCATGACCCTATCTGTCAAACAGTTTCTGATCAGCAAAAATATTATCTTGATGGGACATGCTCCATATTCACCTGATTTGAGCCCACGAGACTTTTTTTTTATTTCATACATTTAAATCTTGCTGAAAAGATACCCATTTTATCTTAGTTGGAGATGTTCAGGCAAAAAACGGAAAATCTCCTAAAGGAATTTCAATGAACCTCGTTCCAGAACTGTTACCAGTAATGGCAGTACCGAATGCACAAGTGTTTGAATGCTGAAGGGTGTTATTTGAACGTGATACTGTCATGGAGAACTGATTCTGTAAGTACAATGGTTTATTGGAACAGTCTCGTTTTTTTTTTGTGTCACACCTCATATTCATAATTAGTAAGGTAAAAACATAATGTGCTTCCGTAATCAGACTACCGATAAAGAGAGATAAAAGATAAAAATTATAGATAAAATAATCTCAACCAGATTAATATGTGATTAGATTTTACCTATTACAAAGCATGTGATATTTATATAAATGAACTACTTTTAAATTTCTAGGATATTGGGCCATCATTTTTAACAGAAATTAGATGAAAATTATCATTGGTGTTTCAGACTCATTTAATTTTAGATCTTGTCTTAATAGACGAATAAATAAATGTATGTGATGGTATCGCTTTTTTTAACAATATATAATATTTTTAATTACACATTGACAAATGTGTTAATCACATAGAACAGCTAACGCACACATAGCGTGGAAATACAGACGATACATAAGAGACGATAATCGATTCTACGAAAGGGGGATTGGAATAAAGGCCGTTGCCACTGAACCCCCAAACTTTTTTTCTTGTTTTTAACTGTACACAAAAACACTCAATTGGAGCAACAGTGCTCTCTTTCCGTTGAACAGAAGCTGCAACAGATGTCATTGAAAAGCAATGCACAGAATACTTTCGTGGAAAAAAATTAAGATTTTTATTCACACAGTTATAAGCAAATTTCTTATTTGTTGTTACTATATCTTAAATCCTACATTCCGGTATGTGTTTCACAAGAATTAATCATACTGAAGTTTCACAAAACTTACATATTCCTTAAGGATAAAGAAAGGTGAATATTAGTTTTAAAAAATGTTTATTTCTTTCCAGGTGAAGAAAAAACTTCTTATTTTCCAGGTGAAATGCTTTTAAAATTGAATGCTCCAATTAAATATTAACATGGTACGATTTAATTTCGAAATAAAAATGATTTCTTTCTAACGATTAATATTTAAAAAATGTCAATTTTATTTATTACAGTTTTAGTATTTATTTATTTTAATGATAACTCAGAACGATATTTTCAATTATTCTCAGAGTAAATTAGTTTGAAAAATGTGTTTCAGCTATTTCAAGGATATTGGCAACAAATAAAACATTTTTTGCTAAAGAAATGAAGCAGGCAAATATATTTTTATATAATTCCTTAGTTTCCATTTGGTAAATTATAATGTGAAGCAATTTTGTTAATCTAATATAACTTTAATTTAAGAAATTGTGTGCATATATATATCTTCTGAGAGGTCAAAATATCGGATACTCCCCTTGTTTGAAGTAAACTAGTCCAACACAAAGCGACGTAAGAAAGCAGAGTTGCTTATAGTACAAGGAATGATCAGCTTTGATCGACGTAGTTATCAAGGGAAGTTAATGTCAAAATGGATAAGACGGAAGATTTAAGTAAATTTGAACAAGGGATGATCGTCAATACAAAGACCTGGTGCCAAATGGACCGAAACAATGAATCTCTTAGGATGTTTTCACTGAAAAGCATCTCACGTGTTGAGGGGAAATGTTTGAAGTAATAAGGACTATATTTCGTTGGAAAAACGTTGGTAAATCAGAAAGGTGAGTTGCACGTATATTCAGTTGCTATAGAAAGGCAGTAAAGCGAAAAACTACAGATGAATTCAATATAGATGCATTTAAAAGCAAATAGCAATGCACTACAAGATGGAATTCGTAAAGGATGAGCTTTAGCAAAAGTAGACTATAAAAAGGCCTTTGGTATCTCTGAAAAATAGGAAAAGATGCAAAATATAAGAAATCTGGAAAAGTAGCCGGATCCAATGAAAATCGTTTCCTGTTCCATCATGTAGATGCCAGAATCATAATATGGCGCCAACAGCACGAGAATTCGTGGATCTCTTCTGCTAAACAAAGCTTTTCAGCCAGGTGATGGAATTATGGTGTCAGGAATATTTTTGTAGAATTTACGGATAACTTGAAATCTGTGAAAAAAATTCTGAACAGCACAATTTACCCGAACAGCATTGCCTATCCCGTGCATTTGATAATGTATTTATATTCCTTTATGAAAATGACCATTTTCAGATAGACAACACACCTTAAAAGCCTTGCTCAATCAGTCTCAGATTAGTTTCAAGAACGTAAATCAAAATTTGACTTGCTTTCACAGCATTCTAAAATCCATGGCCTCCTTCCTATTGAGCTTCTGTGAGACGAAAACTAAATATTACTTCAAAGCTTGGAAACAGTTCGATCTAATCTGACCCAACTCAGAGCTACCGTTATGTCAGCATAGGTTAACATTCCTCAGAAACGGTATAAGTAACTTGTTTAATTCATGAAAAGAAGAATATCAGCTATGATCAGAGCTAAAGTTGGATCACATCGTCTCATTAGAGAGGCCTCTAATTTATTTGATCACTCGGTGTATATAAGTGTGTGTGTAGTTTTTTCAATTCCTATACTCTTATAGTTCACTCTCTCTCTATATTTATTTATTTATTTATATTGTTCAAATTTTCAATCGTTTATAAATACTTTCTATTTATCCACCAAGTTCACAAATACATTTTTTAAACTTGTAGTGGATGACACTTGATGTTAATACGGTTTTTCAAATATTAATTCATTAGCTAAATTTAAAAATGAATAAATACTAACAAACAAAACTAATAGTCCAACAGCATATATAGGAAGGAAAATTGATCGCGCGCTGTGTCCCTGTAGCGCAAAAGACTGCGCGTTGGACTTCTAATCCAAAGGTCATGGGTTCGAATCCCCCCTGAAAGAACCTAATTTCTGAGATTGTGATTTCTTTTTTACTATAATTAGAATAATTGAGTTTAATGAATAAATAAATTATTAAACAAACAAACAAAAAATAGCCCAACATCATACATAGAAAGGAAAATGGAAAATCGCTTTATATTTTGTCACTTAATCTTTTGGTTCTGTGTCCTATGCATATACATATTTATATTAATTGTAACTATTTAAAACTAAAATAAAATAAAAGGTAACTAAAATAAAATGTTTCTTTTTTGACCTAAGTAGGAAATGACTTACTTGTTAAAATGCATTATTTTTTAAAATTTAAATTCATATTTTAATTTTAAAAATTAACAAATATTTGATAGTTGAATATACAACAACAATGCGTATACTGCCACCCATTAGGTACAGGGTTAGTGACGCTGACTGCGGTGCCGTAGGGACTGCGTTCGAATCCCGGAGAAGACATGGATGTTTGTGTTGTAATCCTTCTTTCTTTTTGTGTTGTAAGCCCCCATGTGATACATTGTGCGGTGCACGAGGTTTATAAATGTTCTCAATAAAAAAATGCATGTACTGATATATAAAATTATTAGAAAATAGAAACTAAGCCTACCTTAAATAATTTCACAGTTATAATCTCGCTGCATAAGAAATTGAGTTACTTTTGCTTCTGTTGATAAATACTTACTGCGCAAAAAGTGAAATGTCAAAACCCAATTAAATTTTACTGCACAAGATCATTTGTTTCTCAAAAGATTTTTAGCATATTTATTACATAGTTTTGTTTTTAAATCTAACATTAATATTTTGAGATCTTCGTTTATTACTTATGTATACGAAATTTGTACAAATTAATAATAAATTTTTGTAAGAATGATGATTCTTTTCTTCTGAACATCGCAATGTAAAACAACTCGAGGGCTATAGGTGTTTTTAAGAATACAGAACTATCGAATAAAAATTATGATGATTCTTTTTTAAAAATGTAACCTGTTTCATTTTTGTTACATATTAAAATAATTGAAATGTACGAAAATCATTTTTAGATTTATTAATTTTTTTTTATGTTTCAGGTGCTTATCTAGAAAATAAATGCTATGCATTAGGAATATTTCTTACTCTTAAATGTAGCTATTCTAGAACGAATAATAAAACTTAAATGTCACATATTTTAGTTAAGTAAGTTATGAAATGATTACCAAAAAATAAGATTTTTCTTAAAGCTGTAATGTAAACAAATCTAATGAAGCTTAAGAAATCAATCGTGTTGCATGTTTAATTTTCTGTTTATAAAAGTAAACAAATGAATAAAATTCTTTCAACCTCATTTCATCAATATTTCACTTTTTTCGAACCCTCCAGTTAACCTGCTTAGTAAAATTAAAAACATTTTTCATCCTATCTCTCTTTCTGAACTGATAGCTCGTTTTGACGTAATTTTCTATATTCTTCTTTCTCGTCAGGAAAATGAATATATTAGTGTCAGAAAAGTAAACCTTATCTTTGATTAAATTGAACTATATAAAAAATATTTTAGAGCCTTAATTACTTTATGGCGTGTTAAATTCATATAAAAGTCTTGTTAATATTAATTAAGAAATATCGTTAGACCTGCATTTAGCAAGGAAAATCTGTTACCCTTAATTTAAAGTCACATTAAATGTTCCCTCCTAATTACATGTCTAATTTGAAATTCAAATTGCTTTAAAAATTCTTTGTGACAGAAATAAAAAACGATGCAACTTGAAAAATATTTTTTTTAGTTTTTTCCTCTTCTTAAATGCTTTTAATAATCCTCGGTGATTTCACCATAATCGCATGAATGGAATCAATATTTATGAAGAATATTTTCGTTTCGAATTCATAAAAGTAACACATTTCCATAACGTTATTTGTAATTTTTAAATCTGTTAATTGTATCAGAGGTCCCATCGGTGTTTCGGAATATTTCCCACAATAATATGCTTATTATTTACATCGTTCGTTTGTTTTATGAGGAGGCACTTTTATACTTATATCGAAACATGAAAAGTTTTGACATTGAACATTTGCATAATAAAATGAAAAATTTTGCACTTTCGTTTACATTCCTCTACTTAGGATTAAGATGCTTAAAATATTGGTATAAGTTTATAAAAAACACTAAAGCAGGGTGCTATAAAAACCTTTACCTTTCAAAGCATTAATTAAAATTTTGGTGCAAAAGGAAATTGGAGAATAATTTTTAACAACAGGTATCCCATTGAAGTAAACTTTTGGTTCCGACATAAAAGTGCTGCTAATTTTCTTTTTACCTGCAGAGAATACAGCAATATAATAACGTCTATCGTATTTCTAAAATATGCAAACTTAATAACCTTAAAAATACGGGTTGAAGCTTATAGTACAGAGTCAACAATAGATACAGAATCAATATCTGCAGTATGTATCATCTGGAATTAGATAGCTGAAACAATGTGGCTTAATCTAAAATTGGAATTTGTTTTATATGGTACTAATTAGATAACTGATAAATTAGATAAATAAATTACATTACTGAAACAATGTGGCTTAATCTAAAATTGAAATTTGTTGTACATGGTGTTACCAGTAATGTTCTTTTCAAAATAGTATGAACTGTGTGTGGATTTGAAAGGGCTGGAGAGATTTTGAGCATGAGCAAATTTTCAGATGCCAAGATCTAGTTGCAGCTAGCAGATGTAAAACTAAAAACGAGTAATATATTTTTTTTAAAAGTCAATTCTCTACTACTTCGTTAGAAAAATGTACTGGCACCATTTGTTGCAGCCAGCTATAACTTTGACAGAAATAGCGCAGAATAAATTGAAAATTAAAAAATAAATCTTAATTAATGAACTAATATTTGGAAAACCTGTATTAACATCAAGTGTCATCCACTATAAGTTTAAAAAAATATGTTTGAACTTGAATGTGAACAAAAAGTATTTTATTAACGATTGAAAATTTTATCAAGATATATAAAAATATGTATATATATATATATATATATATATAGGGGAGAGTGAACTTATAGTAGGAGTTGAATAATGCTTCAAAGGAAACGTGTTAAATAATTTTTGTTACAAAAGCTGCGTATGGGATTTAGTACCATCAATAGAATTAAAACTCACTATAATGTTATGAAAGGAAACATTTTTGAACACTTTTATTGTGAAAATTTCGTCAGGACTGTCAAACTGTTGTGGTTGGCAAACAGATAAGTTGTCTAAACTATCTACACAACTGTAATTGAAATGTTCTCTCAAATTCAGGTATAACATTCAGATTAACTTTTCTTCTGCTAGTTCTGGCTCTGACTAAAATGTTATTTATATTTCATTGCTTAGTGGCCCTATTAAGGCATACATTATATTTATATATAACATTTTTTTCGTTTGAAGATTTGAATATCGGATTCGCGATACTAAAAAATAAACTCAGTTATTTAACATGCATGAAGAACGCTCTTCATGGTATTGTACTTTAATGTTAACGACATTTTAATACTTTGTTTCATGGTTAATTAAACTGTTAAATGTTTCTGTGACACTTTGTTTATATATATATATATATTTGTTTCTACTTTATTATATAATAATATTCTCTTGTAACATAATGAGTTTCTTTTATTTATTTTTGTATTGGCACCTTTTTTTTTGTCAGTTTATGCAATTATGCTTTTGGTATTATCACCTATGCATATGAATAGAACTTTTAAAACTTAAATTAATCCCCCCCCCTCCCTTTTTTCCTTCTAAATTCTGTAATGCGCTTTTGGTCCAACCCTTAATATTTATTTTTTTGCATTTGTTTCGTTATTAAAATCTTTGAAAAATAGGAAATTTGCTAAATTTTTTATAGAAATTTAACAAAAATTCATTTTTTTCTTTTGATTTGTCAAAGTAGACAGATTTATTCGATCAGTTAAAGTTCAAACTAATATGCATAAATAACAATATAAAGTTAATCCTCTTACGTATATATAAGGATTCATTGTTAACTATCACAATATTTGCATGAGTTTCTATGATCGCTTATATCAATGATTAACAAAGTAATATAGATCGCCAGGGGTCTATGACAACCTCCAAGGAGTCTACACCAGCCAAAAATTAATTTGGGGGTCCATGAGGTGTAAGTGAGGGTCTATGAAAGTGTGGCTCTCACCAAACTAGATCGTGACTTTAATTTTAAAAGAAAGTTTATAATCAAAAAAGTGGAAACCAAATTTTACTTATATTTAACAGATTTATTTACTAAATTTATAACGAGGTTAATTTGCGTTTACAAGGTGACAGCATAAATTTTATTAAAACAAGAATCATTTTAGCTTTTCTTTCCTGAGTTAAGCTAAAAAATATAATTCTGGAGAACCTGAATTTTTTTATTTCTAAATTTGGCCCAGACAATCTGTCAGAACGTTTTAACCTACATTCAACATTTAAATGCTTTTTATTCAGATTTTGAAACCAGGTTTGAGAATGTTTTGACTATCGCAATATCACAGTAAGCAATGAATTCATATGGTCATATTGAAAAAATGTCACATTAAAATAGGAACTGATCGTAATAAGCACTAATGAAGATCTTAAAGTTTAGAAACGGATTCCAGCAATTTTGGCTTTGAAAAGTCAAACCTGTTATTTGTCCTGAGTTATGGAATATCGTGAGGAAGGTTTTTCATTTTTAGTAAGAAGAAGTTTGTGTGGAGGAGTTTCAGTGCAGTTGCCAATCTCCAAAACAAACAAACATAATAATAATAAAGAAAAAAAACTGGACAATACTAACAGAAGAGATATAAGGTTAAACCAGACAAGATTGATATCAAATGTTGAAAATTTGATATTGTAGTGCTAGAGATTCATCCCTCCCATTAAAATAATTTGTTTGTCGTTTAGTTAGTTAATTTAACATTTTTTTTATTAATTAACCTTTGATTTAATTAATTAACATGTGCTTTTTAAGTTTTAAACTCTATAGTTCATTAGAGTTAGAAATTTAGTTCTTTTAAAGTG